ATAACTGGAATTTGTAACTCCGTTGTGCGTGGTACTTCACAGTTTTGATAGAACTTCTTCCCACTAAAACTGTATACCAGGAACATGGAGATCAGTCAAAGGAAAAAACCTATATTTGTGCCAAAATTCATCGTTCATACTGTCATTATGTGACAACTGCAGTATGAACTTTAAACGGTTCATCATTAAGTTGCAGCATCCATATGAGGCCCCAATTTTTGTATTGAAGGTCCCAATTTGAAGTCAACCATTATTTTTTACCCATCATCATTTCGTTATCCGCTATATACAGCAAAAATATCACCATAAAACGCCAACCAACTTAATCAATCGAAATTTCTGCACTCGATATCGCTACATTTATTACAATTTTATCGTGCATGTAAACTGTCAGGCATCCGTTAACCTATTTTTTAGAATTAAAAGATTATCGTTGTATAATTTCATTGTGGGATGTCGGACTTCTGACAACAATATAGTGTCCGAATGAATTTACAAAAAAAGAGGAGGGGTTTTGCAAAGTGTAACGAGTTTTAGAATCGTTATGCGTTCTAAAATTCTGTCAGTCATGTTGAGTGATAATACTACAATAGTAGCACCATAATTTTCTTATTAATTGGTGCTGACATTAGTGCCGTGATTGACTTAAAGCAGAAAGTCAATCTGTGTCGTTGGCAGTTTACTTGTGGCTATACTTACGAGTGATTGATAGTGCAAAAAAAAGTTACATACAGGCATTTACATGCTTGAGAGCCCATGATAATCGTATTTGTGTGGCTCGTCCTATCGACTGAAGGAGTTGGTCAAGTTTGAATAATAATCAGCATTGAAATAAAGCTGCAAATGCTCACAGCGATCGGAAACGTAAGCGTCGACAGGAATGAAAAAAAATAAGCATGGAATATAATGATGAAGACCATAATAATAGGCTGTGTTTTTAAAAGTCTTACCCCCCAATGTACAACATCAACGTAAATGGTCTGTGTCGAATGGTCGGAGGCCTACTTGAATGAAACAGGGAAGGCGTGAATAGCTAACTAACTTTGAAATCAAACCCAAAACTTCGTATCCAACAACGATTACCCTTTCGTCGTTTCCTGATAATATGGATACTTTTATGACCGTGCAACACCGTTATAACTAAGACGATAATTTCTGCTGCAACTTGAGCAGTCGAACGCATGAAACCCCGAAAACGCACATCAGAAGACGCTTGAAAAGGAATATAATCACAACCAGTTTCAAATATGGTACGAAACACTCAGCTATTCATAGCTTTTAGTAAATGTCAAAGCATCATTATAACCATGTCTCTCTCTCGCCATAAATAATGTTGTTATGAGGTCTCCAAATGCTGACGGCTAAATTCCCACACTTTTAAGGCAATCATCTATATCCTGCGACCGAATGGGGACTGGCATACCTCTGCACCGATAATTGATTTTCGACTTACATACTCCTTTACTAAACCCCACGAAGTCCTAACCGGACTTCGTTTGCCAATCCATCATTCGACCACCTTTCACCCATTACCCATATTTTGTGCTTTTTCAACAAGCTGATTAGTTACGGGCTCCATAGATGCACAATCACTAGTAGTAGGTGGGCGATTGAGTCGTATGCTTAACAACGTTTTAGGTAGTAGTGAGCGTCTCTTATCGACCGACTGCAGTTGAATGAATCGGTAGGTTCAGTGAATTATTTATCTACTCCAAGTAAAAATTAATAAGGGACATGTAACTACGGAGACATATCTCATACAACTGCAAAGAAGAAAAGTAATGGAAAATAAACTTGTTTGTGATATGGTCGAAAAATGTGAAGGGCCTATCATGCCTGAGTGGGACGCAGATGTATTCGCGTGTGCTTGATCAATGCAAACGAGGGCTTCATCAAGAATATTTACAAACGTATGTAATACATCTGCCATGCGTATTTCAGAGGGAGGACTGTTCCTTGTTGATTCATCATTCGTGAAGAAGTTTTCTCGAGTTTTCGATCCGTATTTTTCAATTAACTGTTGATATTTCACCCTGAAGGCCTTATATATGGGGCCTTAGGCAAGAACTATGTTACAAGTGGAGCAAGTAAGATATTTGAGGAGTTTGAAGTAGAGAATTTAATTGGACCTGAGCTCTCTTTTCCAGAGTGATTCTAGTCCAAGCATATGGCATCGGGAACTATAGTCAGAGAGTGAGTCAGTCTCAAATATTTTGCAGGTGAAATACCATCATGTTCCTTCCACCCTCAGAATATCCGATAGGCGTAAGTTGGAAAACATGAACGAACACTATTCGACGATACGTCTTACACATATCTTGAAAGAAATGATTTAAGATTGATTTCGACAGAAGTTGAAGTCGAACAATTTCCGCAGTTTAGATGCTTTGGTGAAGATATAATCAGAGAAGTTAAGACTGTGTGAGTAATGTACCCCATGGTCACTTACTGATTTGAGTATGAATTGTACGTCCTTGTTAAGCGTTAGTTGGCGTGACTATAATTTATGGACAAATCAATTAGATTTAGGATAACAGGTCATGGATTTTGGCGCAAAATTCACTAACCCATTTGACCAAACAATGTCTTTACATTTTAGCTGATGTCATTTGATGATGAAAAACCGTAAATCTTATTCCTAACCTTAACCAACAACTGTGAATCATAATCCTTATTCTTCAAACTGCTTTACAACACTCATTTATCCTTAGTAAGTAGGCAGACACTCTCGAGGTCATTTTGGAGTCGCTCGAAGCTCTCACCTGTTAGTTTTATATCAAGAGACATATCTCTAATACATACGCAGCCTCACTTCTCTATATTGAGTTCCAACCTCCAGCGCTTACACCAATTACTTACCATGTCCAGTTTATGGGTGATCGTTTGCATAGTGCCACGTACATCGCGAATATTAGTTTTGTTAAGTACTGAATTTCCGTTCAATAACGGTAGAACACGTGTCATCAAATTTAATAGCGATTCGCCAGTGATTGTATTACTACATGAATAAAATGTTTGACTTTGAAATGCTCAGAAGAAAGACTAATTATAATAAGTTCATCAGATAGTTGATCTTAGTGTCCCTACACATGTGTTGGTGTGACTCGACTACTAAGTTAGAATAAGCAATTCTTATCTTTGCATGATGCATTACAATTAAGCTTAAGGTTTCCCTTCGTCGGAATAAAATTGATAGGTCGCGTACAGGTTATAAAGCAAACTAGATTCATTTGCCTGTTGTGCATAGGACGACATATCGGTCTCCGTTATTCTACTTTTACCAAACACAGCCAATAGCAGCTGTCTTAAGTTGTGACTTTTAACTACCATGGTTCATATGAAACAAAAAACAGTTGTTGATTATATTAATGGCCGTTCGAATTTGTAGTAAATTCATTGTGCACTTCAAAACAAGCGAATTCCGTTTTATTATTATTAAGAGATCCATCAAACATATTGTACATCAAGACGGATGAACTGTGGATGATATTAATTGTCAATAAAGTTAAATGTATTCTAGATGTAATTGTGGTTCATTTATTATTTATACGCTTGAATTATGGTGGATTGTAACAACCAAGCCTCGGATCTCATGCATGATATGATAATCTATCTAGATGAAGAATATTTGACAACAAGTATAAGCTAACAATTTCATGGCTCATTAATTTTTTATTACGGTCGTTAGACTTTCCTTGACTACAGCATCTTATTTGCAGTGGTTACATGATAGCTTCTCACAATAAAATCTAAACTAATAGAATTAGAAATCCGCGTTCCCGCCTTGTGGTCTAGATAAATAAAAGGGAAATCCATTAAGTTTAATCATTTATGATCATTAGGTTATGGTGTTATTCAGAAAACATTTATCACGTCTGGTCTTAATACAGACTAGATATAAAGGACAACTTTCAAAGGATTTTTATATTGAGATATAGGTCACATAAGACTAACTGAAAAAAATATAGCTTATGAACCCCACAAAACTTATCGACAATCTACCGCATGCGCAACTTGTAGTCCGATAAGTCGGAAGAACTAAACTAATCTCTGACAAGTGTACTGTAGCACAGTTACGTGTGAGTGATAGATAGTGATTATGTTATAAACTTTAGAGAATGACATTGAAAATCCAGCTGAAATAATTCCTTAAATGCTCCTTCAGTCCGTTTAATTGACGAAATTTTACATGCGAATTACTACGGTTATGTAACGTAATCTATGAGTGTAAAGACGTCATGGGTATTCTGAGTCTAACAATGCTTTTACCAGGAACAGCTTAATGATCAAAGTATGCCAACTCAGTCAAACCAGAAGCCAGAAATGAAGAGTTGTCAAGATATATTTGGAAGGCATCGATATCTCGAGAAGCGTTCGGTCTAATTTGGCTAACGATTGTACGAGATACATAGCACCGTGTACCCACTCGTGATTTGGTGCGGACGCGTGACTTAATGGTTGCGTAAGGATCAGCTGGCCAACATATACCAACCTCAAGTTCTCTGTATATACAATTTACAGCTTTACCGATCAAGTATAACACATGTCATCGTTGGACAAGTTCACTGTAGCGCAATCCTGAGTGAGATGGAATATATTGACCTCTACAAAAATAATGACCCAAAATCTCAACTCTTATTCGCTAACATGGTTTTTTACACACTGAAACCAGCGAATCATCGCATATGACGCTCAATTTTTACATAATAACGTACATGGGGGTACGATATAACTACAGTGAACTACATGATATGAAAGACCTGACATTCCACCATAAAATAACTAAGCGAGAGCCACGAAACTAAGGGGTTCATGCTAAATCATCACAAAGATATGGGATATACGTTAAATATCTCTTGTTTGCGATTTTCGGGACAGAAGCATCCTAGAGACATTTTGTTTATACTACTCGATGAATGTATTAGATCCTTGAAACCTGTTCAGTTTTTTCTAGGCCAAGTATACTTCTGAGCTTTTTAAGAACTAATTGTCCCCAAGGTATGGGTGTGGAAGATGAAATGAAGAAAGCGTCCTGCTCCTGTTCATCCATATGTTTTGAATATCCTCAGTCAAGTATGACGCGTCCATTAAACAAAAGAAGAGGTTTGATAGAAAATATAGGACTTTGTGAGAGTAAGTTTGCTACAATAACTGTATGAAATAGAGATAATGGCTGAAATGATGCTGAAAGAAAAAGGAGAGGCCTTTCCTGAAAAAGATTATAGTGATCAAAAGAGAAAATCTACAGAAACTTGTGTTTTTAAAGCACATCAAAATACGAAAACTAGTATTTCACCGTTGTCTGTTCAGAAGTAGGTTTTGTTCACTGAAATATGAAGCTTTTTACTATAGGAAATACGACTCAAGAAAAACTCACGTAAGTGTTGTTTATTTCGATCCTTCATAGAGACTAATAGTTACCTCAAAATTTCAACCTTTTTAAAAAGACGTTAAGACTTTGACCGAATTTCATAATAAATTCTGTGCAGAGTTCTGCCAGAAACCTCGTTATTTTTCATGGTCTGGATTTTTTCTGTGCAATGAAAAGATTTCGGGAAATCTTAAGTATTGAGAAATAAGTCACACCTTATTATATATATATATATATATATATATATATATATATATATATATATATATTTGTGTACGTATTTATCATCGACTTTCTACCTGATGCTCAATTTATTTGGAACTATCAAGTCCAGCCTTGGCATTCATGCCTAAAGGATACATATATGCTTCTGCGAAATTTCAGAAACTTGATTTAAAAGACCTCACATGTTTCAAGGACATAGCGTCAATCCTTTAAATTTACGCGGGTAATAGACACTTGTTCTGACAATCCTGAACTAAGGTCTATTCGAAAATTATACCATTTCATGAAGTTCATCTATCTATTGAAATCAAAGAGGGATATAGATTAGTTTGCGGATTTAGGATTAGGATATAGGATTGGAGGTTGGGGTTAGGAATTAGATTTCTGATGTTCACCACTAACTCGCATAGGCTATTACCCCACAATTTTATTTAGCTATTTGGATTAATGGATTTCTAAACGGAATCTACATTGCAACATGATCGATAGCATTCGATCTGCACTAATACGGACTAGACACGCATGACATTGATCGCCACCCAGTGGTCAATCAATTGTGAACGGACTCCAATATTTACCATCTTTGATTTCATTGGTTCGTCCATAATTTAGTCCCGCCGAAAGCTAATCCTGTACTAGTTGTTGCATAAAACATAACTCTTGATCGTGTCAGAATTCTCTGCCTAATATCGCTAGCATACTTGAATTGATAAACCGTTTTACGATGAACAAATACATAGTCTAAATGTATTGGTTGCTTGAAACTTCCCATCAATGTTTAGGACTCCAATTGGTCAGTCTCTTTTGTTATACGAACATCCTATGAGGATCGCACAAATATTACTACAAAGTCATTAACACATATCTCAAAAAATCTGCAAGCATCCCTATTACCATTGAGACTGCCACTACCTGTACCGTTCTGGGATTCGGCCTGACAGCATCACTGTGTTAATGGGGTGTGTCAACTTGAACCGATGTAAATACGTACCACGTTCTGCATTGCGACTGGCTGATACCAAGAGAGACTGATCAATCGAAGTCCTAAACATCAATGGGAAAATTCAGACAGCCAATATATAAAAATTAAAATCCACCTCCTTTCACAAGCCAGTGGCCATCTAGACTCAGTAGCTATGTGGGCAACGCGATGGTGCAGGGGCGATTGATACTGGGTTTAAGTTACGGAGTGAACATCAAAACCGGGATTCAGGTACATCCACTTGACGAGTTCAAAAATTTCACTGCTAGTCATCAAATGTATCTGCATAAAAATAGGTAAATTGTTAGGAATAAGTCATTTGTAAACCTAGTGCAAGAATACGTGATTCGAAGTCATTTGCATCATTAAAGTAGTCCTATTTTGTGCATTTTCCAACATCTTAGATCGTATTTATCCACTGCTATTATAAAAAGACTGACAAATTGTTTGGAATAGGTCAGTTTTGAACATTGTCAGTGAAGATTACTGAGCTAGTATCACATCTTCAGTCTATATGTTGTCAGTTCTTCAAAGGTCAGTTACAGTTCATTTGAGTGTTACAGAACAGTTTTTTAATTCAGCCGATTTTTAACTTCCCTCAAATAATTAATGCAATGAATAAAGACGCCGGTACATTTTGTGTGGAGAAGAAAAATAAACACATGCTGAGGTGGTGTACCCATAAACTCTTAAACAACTCGTTTCTGAGCAGTAACGTAGAACATGGAGTGATCAAACCTAATTTCTCCACTGATTTAACAAATTCAGTCGTGACAGTATCTGAGCACTCCTAGATCGAATAAGCAATTAGTGAATCTTCAGCAAAATAATGTGTCCATTGAATCTGCAATAATTCTCGGCTAAACACCGGTCATCACGAGATAACTCCATATTATCTAATGCTTTTAAGAGTCAGTGGTGTTCTGAATTAACAGTCAAGTGAAAAAGCATAACACAGACTCCTTTGCTACAGAGAATTACTACGACTATCTGAAAATACCTAAAATCCATTTGCATAACTTTTCCTTCTGTTCATCAATTCAGGAATATGGAGTCAGATTTAGAAAACATCCAAATCGTTAAACGAGGAAATCCCACAGTTTTTTCGTGAACAGAATAATTAGACCCTACCTAACTATCATTTATCTTTAGGAGATATCTTATGGTGTTTTTTATGTCAAATATGTTTTCCAAGATGACAGAGAAAATCAAAATCACCCTCACAAAGTACTAAATTTAAATCGACTTAAATACCTATGAATTGTTGTAGATGGTATTATCAGTAATGATTTAAAAACTGTAGACACTAATCGAGAGATAATAACGGAAAACAAAGGCCAATCTTATGGCTTATGAAGAGGTGACTCTTTTCACTCATAAACCTTTTCGTGAATATTTAGATTCCAAATGCTTAATGTCCTTATGTTTTTAGGCCAATTTTATGAGCTTAGTCTAAATCCTCTGAATCTCTTGAAAAAAAAGAAAGCTAATTAAATATCAAAACGTTTGCACGTGGATTCATTTAGGCCGCTTCTAGTAGTGAATGCTGTTCGCGATAATACGATCTCAAACTAATTACATATCTCAAATTTTTTGATGAATGCACCCATGCCACATATGGTAATACTTCTGGGTCAGCAATTCATATCCTCATATCTTAATGACTACTCACCATGTTTGACTCATCCGTTGTGGATATTGTTCTGTTTGTTGTAGAGCATAAGTGGTGATCTGCACGAGAACCTGAAATGAAGAATGCATATTTGTAGACCCACAGTAGATATGAACTGCTTTTTCTCTTTAAAACTTTGTCTTATATCTTACTTTGACACATATGAATGAAAATATTTCTCCTAATAATCTTAAACTACTAGTTGGATCCATCACTACTCATATATTATCCCGCATAAACATCTATAATAATTTACTAATCTATTTAAAATATAAGCTGTTCAAGTTTTCAGATACTGCCACCTTGATATTTTTGTGAAAATAATTCTGAATGGAGTTTGATTTACCTTACTGTCAGTCGTTATATAATGAAATACATATTACAATCGGGTTTTTTGTTCTGATTAGATGTTACTTGAAGATTTGGTATGTTACAAACTTCAAACAAAGAAATTACTTACTTACGACTGTTACTCCTCATGTAGCGTATGCCACTGACCAGGATTATTTTAACTATTGTGTTCCGGGCTCTCCTTTCCAATTGTTCTCAAGTGCTATTCATTCTTTTGATGCCTGCTCCCAATTCTCTGAGCTATGTGTTGTTTGGTCTGCCTCTCTTTCTTTTGCCTTAAGGATTCCATGTTAGGGTTTGCTTTGTGACGCGGCTCGATGATCTCCGAAGAGTGTTACCTATCCACCTCCAGTACGTTTTCCTTACCCACTTTCCATCTGAAGGCTGGTTTGTTCTCTACCACAGTAGGTTGTTGCTGATGCTATCTGGCCAGTGTATCTGGAGTTGTTTTTAAATACCTGTACTTTTATCATGGTTATTGTGGTAGTCCTCCAAGTTTCACCTCTATAATGTTCTATTATCCACATTTACGAACGCTTCTGTTTAGATGTGGAGGTTTTCATACTCATATCACTAGCTCATTTTGGAGCTAATTTATCGGTGATATCTGTGCCTTTTCTAGGTGCCCATTTTTTCTGAGATTTTAGGAGCCTTTTACTTATTGTCGAGTAACTGTTGCATACTTCTAATACATATCGAAATAACTAATCAAAACAGAGCCTAGGCATAACCAAAAAATTACACAATGACAAGGTATGACTTCGGAGCCAAAGTTGACAGAAGTGTGATGAAGGTCTCACGTGAACCGAAAATAAACATCAAGCATTAGTATGTGGGGTGGGGTTACACCTAATACGAAACAAACGATTTTTGTCATTTAGCATGTATACGCGAGTGAATTTTTTACATATACAAAGCTCATTACGATGCGAACGTTTAGACCTGTATAACTGAATGGATGGATAAAAGAACATCTTCCATAGGTAGACCTGGTATTTGAAAGGTTTCACGTATATGGCCATACAACTAGAACAGAATGATGTGGACTTTGTTGGGATTACCGTTAAAGGTTGATGATAAACGTATTGATGACCATTTTGGGGCACCTAGAATCAAGCACCATTCATGATTTTTCCTACGTCGCGAGGCTAAAGACAAATACTGTGTTGACTTGAAATCAATGAGATCTGACTAGAGAGGCCTATCTTGATGAATTGTTTTTCTTTCCAGTCTGTTTGTACATGTTCTTCTTCTCAAACATTTCTAAAGCGAATGTGGTCGAGCATCTTTGCAGTCATTCGTATGTCTGACTTTGGTTCTTCAGCTTGTACGTTGTCTGGTCTTGCTGCCTTCTCACTCTTGATCTTGCTGATGATCATGTTGATTTCTTTGACTGTTGGTGCGGTAACATCTATATGTGTCTCATGTTTCCTTCTGTTTCAGCCTTTTCTACCGTCATTGTTAGGCCTTCCTCATTTTTGGAATTAGGTTCCTACAGATAAATTTCTTGAATAATTCTCTCTACTGTGGCATAAAGAGTCTTATCAGGGCTATAGTGAAAATAGGTAACTATGTATGTAGCCAACAATTATAATTTTTTTTTCAAAATGTAACTAACTACAATTAGTACAAAAGGGCAGAATTGTAGTCGATTACAACGAGAACAACAAGCACATTCATATAGAACAATAGCACAGAAACAGCAAAATAAAACAGTATAAAAGGTTAGTCATGTTTATGCATCTGGTGCAATTTAGCGATAGTGATAGTGGTTGAATATGTAGAGTTAAATAAGTTTAAAGTATTTGATTTAAAAGAGTATTGTACTAATAGACTGATGACTATCTAGCGTTTTCTTACATGATGTTTTGAGTAACAACGATGGAATCCCTGTACGTCCCACAGTCTTTCATTCATTTCATATCGATTGTGCTGGTAGGCAGAAGCTAGAATAACTGTCGTTAAATGAAAATTCGTGTGATTTAATTACGGTTAGAATAAGAAAAGTAATTGTCATTAACCAGTTTAAGGCGTCAATCGAATGTAGTATTATATGTTGCATATTTATGATTAGCTAGACTAATTATTATTAACTAACATGTTTACTGACAGTTCGTGTTGATGGTGAATATCTCAAATGGTGTCTACCGTTTATCTTCATTTTTCTCAAACACTACAAGTTTTTGCAAAAATGTTATATGTTCTTAAACCTGTAGTACTTGTGTTGTAACAACAGAAATTCATGAATATAATGACTTCACTTGTTTATCACATTTTTAAATTCATCCCAGAAAGCTGCAAATCGCCAGGTATATTCTGAAAGACGTCTGCCGAAGAGTTCTCCAAATATGGCAACAAAATGCACAGAAGAAAATATATCTTTTCTACTTTCACATATTTTAACAGACGGTAGCGGCCAGCCAACAAACGGGAAGCAATCCGTTAATTACCATATACCCACTGAAATCCCAGAGCATACATTCATTCAAAAACCAACGAATCCAATCAATGTTGCATCCAAAGAAACCGATGAAGGGATTCAAGAAAGCAAGTTTATCACAGAGTATTGTGACTCGTCTATGTTATTTTATGTTTTTTAACGGACGAAATTGTTGCAGTAAAAGTGTTACTGAGATATAAGGATGAAAATTCAACGGTTAAGTAGGGGTTTTTAAAGACGAATCCATTTATTTTTAATATGCATGATGTACATGTTAACTGTGACAGTGAATTCCTATATACGTAGATAAAATTTGACGACGCTATAAATGAAAATAATTCTTTGAAATATTGTGCTGTACGTGACGCAATACAAGCAAATTCGTCATGGTCCTTAATATTCAATGGAATTTTATCTCAACTCAAATGAATATATATATGACACTGCATCAAAACATTTGTTCTAAATCATATTATCTTCAATTTAACTTTGTTATTGTAATTGTAAACACATCTCAGTCCTACAGGAGGTCGGTCGCGGCCCTGATATCTCAGTGGTAACGTCTCTGATTGTGAGGCCGGGTGACACGGGTTCGAATCGGTCGGGGGTCAACAGTTGTCTCAAGATTTCAGGTACACCATGCTGACAAGTGCCAAGTAGCACGAAACCTAGGTCCGGGGTTTCTTGTTTACTACCTCCAACCACCATCTTATCTCATAATAGTGCACTCAATATCTAGTCACCTAGACTAATGTCCACATTGCAACTTGGTCGATTGGATTCGATCGGCATTAAGAAGGACCTGACATACATGACATCGATCACCACCCAGTGACTGTATTTACTTACAGTTCTTATAATTACCAAAACTACCACTTCCCCTTACAATGATATCTAGGTGTATTGTGAACTTTTTCCGAAATGTATGGGAATTTTACTTATTATTCATTCCAACAGATAATAGGACATTTTGAATTGTGTCTATATATGGTAATTGGTTTGATGAATATGTTGAAATTTCATAATTCTATTACTCATGATCACATGATTAGTTGAAATTGGATTCTATTTTTATATTGATTCCAATTATTGTTCTGCTATATCGATGTTTTCACTTTTTACTGAGACTTTTGAAATTGAACTTGAAGTAGTAATAACCATGTATGTATACATGTATAACTCAATGTGTGTTACGTGTTTCTTTATATATTGGTTTAGCTTGTCTTCCTAATTATCCCAGACTGATATTTTCTCTGAAAAGTGTTTTCCGTGATAAGATAGCACTTGTGTCTTTTCGTTTCAGTTTCAATCCAATATACAATATGACCTTATCGTTTCTAATGACTCAAACTTAACTTAGCATAGTCTAATCCATCTTATGAATAATATGGGATATAATTTATCTTCATAAATGTTCTACCCATGTCCGGACACATTTGTAATTAGAAACCCATAACCATTTTTCTAAACTATTGTAAAACTGGCACTACATCTTTCTGATTTGCATTATCTTGAATTTAGCATTTAAACTCGTGCCCTATCTGTTTTCTTATGAGTTTGTTTTAATCATAAAAATTCATTGTCCAGGCACATTTTTCTAAGAATTTTTTAGATCCTACAATAAATGCAGAGCATGGTATTGAATCGAATAAAATTCCAGTATCAATAAATTTCAAAAGCTTTGTACGAACCACATGTGATTATGATGTTCAGCATGAGGTTTTGTAAGAGATTAGACTAAACTAAGTAATTGCTCTAATCTAAAGTGAAATATGTGCAAAAAATAATATAGTCAAATGCCTAAATCTGAATGAACTGAGTAACTATTTAAGCATTCTGGAAAGGCTGTTCATTTCACTCAATATCTCACGAGATTTAGGAATTAATGAGTGCCTTTAATAAATTTCATCTTCAAATTAATGTTGACGCTAAATGCAACATGTTTAGACTTCCATCTTATTTCAGAGATAAGTACTATCGAGTTGTTACTTTGCACAGCTTATACTCACGTTGAGTTAAATGAATGACTGTATTAAGATGTTCTATTTTCAAGGATATTAATGTACACGTACCTATATTATAGACTCATCTTACCGAAATAAGCTATGCTCTCAACAGAGATTTAGATCTCTTACTATAGAGTAACTGATTTAAAAGTAGTATCCATTCAAAAGGGTGTACATTAATAAGAGCGACTATCAGAAAAGCATATATTGATAAAGGTGAGTATTGAAATGTCCTTTCTGCTCTCCAGAAAAAATTAATGAACTTTATTCTGTCGATTGTTGACATCTGCGATAATAAAATACAAATGACTGGGTTTTGTTTAATACTAATTAGCTGAAGAGGTCAATCGGTTGTTGATGGTTTCGATTGATGGTTTTAATTTCTAGTCATTTCTTATTACTACCTTCATGTTTTTAAGTGGTCAATTATCTTCTAGATATTTGATTTTTTCTAATTTTTTTTCGTCTTGATCGTTACGCAGTATTATTTCGATCCTTGGAATTGAGAGAGAGGTTATAGGCATTAAAACGTAAGTGACATAGACATTCAAGATTCGGACATCAACTTCCCAGCATGTTAATAACTCATCAGTCTAAGAGGGCGATTTATTAAGACAATAAAATAATCCCGACAATACGTTAACTAACTGAATATAATACATCAAATGAGAGCATTAAAAGGGAGTAACATCAGTTTAGTGTAGATGTAAATGTTACGTACATTATAAAATTTTCGTAACACAGTTTACCATTTTAGATGTGCAAATTCACATTATGTGCCATTCCACGCAGATAGTCTAGTGTCGATCTATTTACGTAATCTTCTACGAACAATTTGATACATACTGCTACCTCTCCATACTTTCTTTTTACTTCCTGTCCCTGAATTCCTGCAAGAGACTGTTTGATTTTCAATCTATTTAGACTCTATTCCCTTTTTACAGCATTAATCAATTTCTATATACTTGGATGAGCGGTACTAATAACTTGGTTAAAGCCTCTATACCACCATTCCACCACATTATTCGTTTTCGGAAAGCCCTCCACAGCAAAATTAGAATGGTAAATATTTTACATCATGAAAAATCTTATTCCCTTTCAATCCTCAACTTCATTAACATGCACCTTTTTGATGGTCGCCCTTTTACTCACGCCCTTAATAGTGTGAACCTTTGAAAATATGGAAAACTTTTTATAGAACCACAGAATAAATTTAACAAGTACTAGAACCAACAATTTAATTACAAATAGTTAAATCAGTTTCAACGTTATTTTAGACGTCAACTTTGGTTTTCGATTGCTACTCGTAAATCGTACACTAAAATTTTTGATGCTAATGCCTCGAGGTTTAAGCAATTTTTACACTTGTAGTACTGCATTTATTTGATAACACTAATTAGGATTATTTCAGTTTTCTGGAAGTTTACCAATGTGCTTTATGGAAGTAACAAAATTTAACTAGACTAATTTAACAATAGCGTTACGAATACCCATCCTTCCGAGTTCTTACGGAGTCGTTTAGCCGAACAGCACATAGACAACTGCTAACGGGCATCCACTCTAACAGTGCTTGTTCCGCCCTCATGCTTAGTGCTATGCCCACACCTACCAGTCCACAAGAATCAGCCATGGAGTCGCCAGATACACGGATAGTGTGTCTCGTCGGCTCTCCGTTTTGGCGAGGTGAGGTCAAGTGAATGACCACACTAGGATCCTGGATGCGTGTTTCGGATACACAGCATACATAAATGGTACGAGATTCTAGGGTTTTAGCCAAGGAAGCCTGCTGACCGATTTGACATAGGGTGCGTACGTTGAAGGCTCCAATGTGTAGTTTGTAGCGAGGTTTCAGTAGACCTGGGACAGTGTTTCGCGCACTAGAATCGTTGGCTATGGTGACACTTGAGGAGGAAGCCAAAAGAGTAAGTTTAGAGTTGAAATTCGATGTAGGAGTAATGATAAGAATTGAAGGGGTTGATTATGAATACAGTTGTCTTGAATGCTGCTAGAGGTATGAGGGCAGTTATCAGTTATTGGTAACCTACACCGTGGAGGGGTTCTTTTAAAGGTACAGTCGGCAGTACGACTGCCCTCATACCTTGGGTTTGCTGCTCTTAGTCTTTCCGCTGCTCAACCTATCTGTCTTCATCTTTTATTCTCAATTTCTGAGGACCATTGTCAAAGATGAAAACATTAACTCTCCTTTCTGTTCTCTCAATGTCAGTGCTTCGGCATATGTAAACTAGTGTACATAATTATGGCTAACATTAAATGGTTATCTGTCCACTTTGAATGTTTCAGCGAGATGGTGATGAAATACAAGTGTGGTTGAGATCTTGTCTTTTTGAAATATGCTTATTTTAATGTTAACAAATATCCTTTTTAAGCAATTCTAATTCCTACTATTTTTACTGTCAATCGGCAAACCTTTAGCTGGTTCAGTTCAGGATGTCAATAGACTTAATAGTCCAATTTCAAAAGCTTCTAAGTCAATTCAGTGCTCAATTGACAAACCAATTACAAATTCTGTTGAAATTCATTGTGATATTTTAAGCGTCATTAAAAATGATGATTTCTCATTTGTTCTCGATGAGAACAGTAAATTAATTGCTCAAGTAAGTATTTCAAATCATTATCATTAAATATTTAGCCTACTTGACGTAAAATTTTGTTTTATTAACTGCAAGGCGCACTTCAGATGTTCCCGTTGAAACGTAACCACGAGAGTGACAGATCTTCATAGTCGGTAACACAGTCTATTACTTGTTACGTATAAAACACAAGAACTAAATAAGGTCTGATTAAACTTGAATGGATAGTACAACTTTAGATTCTTTAGTGAAATTTAGCTAACGTTTCCTTGATTTCAATACCATGAGAAAGTTTGGTAATCTCCTAGTTGTAATATGAATTTCTTTTTAAAGGAATTTATTGAAATGGAAGAAACTGTAGACGTTGTGCTTCAGATACTTAACTCGAATAATATTTTTGTCAAATAATCAAGCTGCCTTTATCCAATACTTCTAAACTGTTCAACTACTTTTGGTGCTGTTCATTATACCACATGGAGACTTACTATAGATCAGATTATTTCTAACACGTATCAGTACTATAAACATGTGATATTTCAGTACTCACATAATTGTTACAAAAAACTGTCACTTGTTTTGATGACAGTCAGTCGTGTAGTCTTCAATGTTTTTCTTGTCTTTCTATATAATTGTTGACTAGTACACAATAACCTAGAACACCGACGTCAGTTATGCGGAAAGACCGATATGATCATTCCCAAGCAAAATTAATCTACGATTTTGAGCAAACATCAATGATTATAAGTGAGCTGAATACTTAACTGAAAATACTAATTACAGTCCTTATTATTTATTTAATTATTAACTAATTTGTAAGCATATTAAAACCCATTTCTCATTTACCACTTCAAGAGAAATCGGTCTTCATTTATGACCTAATTCTATCGATAAAATTATTCAGTACGATTATTGAACTAATATCATTATCAATGACAAATTCTAATAAATCAGGTTAAATATAAAGATGTAAGCCAAACGCTATGCCTAAATTTAAATAAAGTTTGTGATTTACGTTACTGATAAATACCACTTTTCTACAATCGTTTCTATAATCAAAATGTCCCATAAATATTTCACTCGTTTTGCATCTTGTAATGGTTCATTAAACTAAATTTTTGCTATGTTCGAGACGTTATGATTTTGCATTCGTACCGGCGAACGAAACGTAAACCAGCAACGCAATAACAGGACGAATCTAAGCTATCCATCTGCGCCTCAGCCCTGCTAACTAAAGGAAGAAGACGAAATTCAGTGGGGAAAACAAATCATCCGACAAACAGCTCGGAAAAATGAAAAAAAAACAAATACTTAACTCATGCATGATATATACAATACAGAAATGTCTTTGAAAAGCGTCACGGAATACCATACTGAAAGAGAAAACGAGCCAATGACGTTTAAAATTCTTCCGGTTGGGAAACAAAAACGGAAGGTAATGAATGCCTTTGGCGCGAAAATGAGAAATTCAAAGTTCCACAATTGAATTACAAAATAAGAAGTCCAACCAAGTTATTTCCGGAAATTTACCATCACCAACAATTTCCTTACCGTTTACTCTTTGTTAAGAATTATCTAATAATAAATTATGATTTGAAATATCCTTAAGCACTTTTCATTAATTGAACAGGTGAATGTATGCTGTTTTCTAATCACTCTGATATCAGCTATTTATGTTTCATTTAGTATGTTTGATTCTGTGAAACAAAATTCTAAATTTTTCCGTAATTAGGTTTTTGCATGGGAAACGACAACTTCAGGATTTTTGTCGGAATGCGCTTCGAAAATATATTTTGAAGCTTAATAACATAGAGCTGGGTTTCGAAAATTATTTTGAAGCCTAAGGATATAGCTAGTTATTTTTAATATGGTTAAGTTCTTATTCTTTAGATTTCAGTGCAGTGATTTAGGTTTTCCTGTTGTCTCACTACTATGTTAAACAACCATACAAAAACTATCAGCACTTTTGGATTATCATAATCTTCTATTGATTCTAATTTGCAGCAAAAAGCACATATTGAACATTTAAAGCATGCTCTATCATCGGAACAAAATAAAGTTCAAAGTCTACATAGTCAGTTGTGCAAAAATCAACTCGAATTTGACAAAGCTAAATTAGGCTGGTTGCAGAAAGAAAATCAGTTTAAAGTGAGTTAAGAAACTGTTGACCATTTTAAACCGCATTTCTGCTCTATATGATAATAACGATTCAGATCTACGTCTTCTTCGTTAGTTTATATATCATGCGGGCGAACAGTTCATCAGACAAAATTAATTAGATTGAATTCATATTTTTAATACAAATATATAAATATGAGTATAAGTAATAGATTTCTAGTAGTATCCTAGTTACTGCAATATTTCATAATTAATTGTTTTAATATTTCCATATAATTTAAAATGAGTAATACAAAAAAAAGTATAGTGCATCGAAAACGTATCTTATTGGCAGTTTGTATAATTAATCGTTTGTTTAATTGACAAAAAAAATAGTTCAAACTAAGTCTACGTGAATGAATTAAACTTCATCCGTTAGTTTAAATTAATGTAGTTTACTCACTGATTGGTTTAGTTTGTGGTGTTCATATCAGTTTTATCTATGATGTGTGATATCTCTGAAATAATTGATTTCAAAATGATTGGATCGATGAATAGTTGGTTTCTATTATCGACATCTGGATTTTAATATCATCATTTGACTTATCAACAGCATCAATTTGCAAATATTGTTTTACTTTATAGATAAACTAACTTTGATTAATCCTTGTATTTATTTTTTTCGAGCTTTCTTAGTTATTAACCTTGTAGAATATAAGAGAAGGCTTGCATGTGAGCATTAGTTATAATCTTCGGGTGTGTATTTTTCATGAACTAAAGTTCAAAATCCTACAAACTTAATCTTTTTTTGTGAGGAGAATCAACTTTATACATTTCCATTAAGATTACCTTCAGTGATACTTGACTGCATCCAAACAGTTTAATTCGATCTCAATAGCTTCTTGAACGGTGTCTAAAACTGTTGGAGAAATCCCAAAATATTCCTCGTCGAAGTCCCTAGAGGCCCAGAAACAATAGGAAACATTTTACCCAATCAGCTTTAAATGGAATTTTTTCATAAACATCTGGAAGATGCAAAGTAATGTTCAACGGTTTTGATTCAGCATTTACCCACACCACTATATAGTTTGGTGACAAAATTTTCCGGAAGCCCAAGTTAGTGTTAACATATAAATACCGTCGTTCTTAAGTACATAAACCAACCTTGGAGTTAAGCTTTTACTTGCATTCGCACATTCTCTCTAGCGCTCCAGATAATGTGTATTAGTAGCTGGAGTTATCGGGAATGGCTGAGTACAGTTTATGCATATCAGTTGAAAGACTTATCAAAACACTATAAAACTTTAATTGATTATGTAGAACGGAATAAATTGATCGCAAAAACAGTTACCTGTTATTTCAGTATACGTACTCGAGTTTCAGGACTATAAGAAACATCAAGACGATGTTCTTTGCTTTCGACTAGTTTCATAGCTAAATCTGGGATTAACAAACCAGTAGTGTTAGAAAAGGCAATGGACAGAAAGACAGTATGTTTATTTAAGAGGTTACGAAGTATTTACATAATACATATACTTTTTCTTCAGTCGTCCATTTTCATTTTTCAATGTGTTCTATCTTCTCGTTTTAACAGAAAGTCCCCTAGTAGCAATAAAACCACTCCATGTTCTTAAACATTTATCAAAAATTTATGTCAACCGAATAAGATAATAAAGCATATTATAAGACTGTCCCAATGCACACCGCTTTCTGCATCTTCGCGGCAGGACGGCTGTTAGTGGTAGTGCGTGAACGAAAAACCAATGTCTGTCGCTTAAACCGGGTTGGCGGATACGGAGGATCCATATGTGTGTGTGTTGGAAAACCTTGGTTTCAAGTCAATAGCGCAAATAGACCCCAGGGTATTGAGGGATCAAATGGTATATGAACCTATTTTAAGTCACCAAGTACCATGGGATCATATCTCCTGACCTTGCTGCCCTTCCTTTTTGATTAGATCTCTAGATCAAAGACCTGAAGAGTGTCCTTCTAAGACAACCCTTTGATTCTGTCTGGATACTTGGGGAGTATCAAAGTTTACGAAACGTTTGATGGTGACTACAGGCGAAGAAAATACTCTCGTTCCTATTCCCGTTCTCACAACTATTTAGTAACATTCACTTGTATTTTACATTGCATCGCGTATCTGTTCTCTTTTATTCCCACTTCGTGTATTCCTTTATCCTTCAACTCATACAGCCGTTCACCTATGGTGGAACTTCTGTCCCATTTAAACGATCTCAAGTCACTGACTGGTCAAGGGTTAAGCGCTAGCACCGTACACGAGTTCTGAACCAGCCTTTCTGAATCCACCTATGCCACTCTAACTAGCCTCCTTCAAAAAGCACACACTAATCCAGATCGGACAACAGATAGGGTTGGCTATGTCTTCAGAAGGTTTCAACATCGATGTCTGTTGTCTATCCGATATCTGTATTCAAGACTCTAGTGAAGAACTGTAAATTGGCTCTCCATCTGTTGCTTCAAAAGCTTGTCTCGTGTGTGGTTATCCAGGGACCCTGTGACGTCTTCGTCCGGTTTTTGTAGCGTTGGCGTTGCACTAAGCGCCAGAATATAAGCAGGACTAATCTATGAGGTCCCAATCAACGGTCGATTATTTACTACTAAATAAGAATGCCTCATCAATTTGGGAAGAAATCGATGTGGGAAACGATGACTTTTCTTGATCTCCTCCTATGCCGCAACAAATTGCCTGGATTCTATCAAGGATGAGTCCTACCACCAGTTAAGTGGTCTCCGGAAAGTGCGTCCAACAGATATTGTGGTACTAGCCGGAGATTCGAATGTGCAGGTCGGGCGTCTAGAGACCGAGGGGATCCGTTTGAGTAGCCAATGGGAACTCGTCGGTTGCAGGTCAGATAACGGTGCTGTCATCCACAAAGTTCAGTCAGTCAGTAACAACGTAGAACTTCGTACGTACGTACGTACATCGGTTCGAGTTGCCACACCACATTAGCACAGAGATGCAGTTGTCGAGTCAGATCCCGTAGTGGTAGAGGTGGCAAGAGTATAAGCAGTAATCGGAAAGATTAGTGTTTGGAGATGTTATTTAAAGAGTATAATCCAGTGAAATAAATTTGGAAAGAGGAAAAAAGAAAGGGACATGAAGAATTCAGAAGATTGGAATTTGGGAGAACACAAAGAGCGGATGCACTTGCACCATTGCAAACGATTTTGAGCCATGTCATTCAGGGTCTCTAACTATCGGTTGCTATCATCTCGCGGTCCCCAACCAGGCAATCTACACCTACCAACATGACTCAGTCCACTTGTCAGTGACTTCCTGGACTTGTGCCATGTTTTGTTCTGGCCGCCCCTAGCTTTCTTCCAACCTACTCCTATACCACTGAACATCGCACGTCGAGGCAGTCGGTGGTTGGGCATACGTAACACGTGTCCCAGCCATCTCAACTGAGGAAGTTTCACTACTTCATTAATTGATTTACCATCCTCACCTAGTACCCGTTTCCTAACAAATGCATTAATTACTCGGTGGTCCCAGGATATACGAGCAATATATCGAAGACACCTATGATCAAATGCTAGTAAACTACGGATATCCTTTACTCTTACCCGCCATGTTTCAGTGCCATAATGTAGAACTGAAAGAACTGCTGCTCAGTAAACCTGTCCTTTGGTTGATAGACGGATATCTCGCCTACGCCATAAATGACGCAAGTTCGTAAAAGCTAGTCGAGCCTTCTGTATTCGTGCTGAGATTTCGTCACACACCAGACCACAAGGGCTAGTGAGACTCCCAAGATAAGTGAAGCGGTCGACACGCTCAACTACTTCACTCCCTATCATTAGTTCGGGTGTCAATGCAACCCAATCCTCAAGCAGTATTTTGCATTTCGAGGGAGAGAATCGCATGCCGAATATGCTTGCATTGTTGCTTAGAGTGGTCAGAAGACTGCATTTTGTCAGCACCTTCACCAAATAAAACTGTCATCAGCATATTCTAGGTCAAAAAGTGAATTTCCCGATAAAAGTTCAACTCCTGGAAATTTAGATGAGGAAAGTGTTATCTCTAGAAGTACGTCGACGACAAAACCAACCAAGAATGGAGAGAGTGGACAGCCCTGACGAACACCACTTGACGTAATCAATTCTGATTACAGTTATCCATAAGCTCTCACTCTACCAGTTGTGTTCGAGTAGAGAGCCTTTATAAGGTTAATATACTTCTTTGGTACTCCTTTCAGTTATAAACACTGTTATTGAACCTCGAATACTGGCTTATGGTCGAGAAATACTACGATTGTGGGGCGTCTGAATGTGTGTCTGTATTCTAGAACCTGACGTAGTGTGCATATCTGGTCTATACAACCACGTCCAGATTGAAAACCAGTCTGGTTTTCTCTAGTCTGCTCTTCACGAGCTTTAGTTATGCGTCGAAGTATTATTGAAGCTAATATTTTAGACACCAGATTAGTCAAGCTTTTTCCTCTGTGGTTTTCACAAGAGGACTTTTGTCCTTTCTTATAGACTGGCATAATCAGTGATTGAGACCAGTCAGATGGAATTACGTACAGTTCCCAAATTGTACCTAACACCTCAGTTAATCTCACTGCTAATACTGGACCACCATCCTTAAAAATCTCAGGGTTAAACCTTTCAGGGCCTGTTGCTTTCCCTCGCTTCAATTTCGTAAAGAGTCGGAGGATCTTCATTAACTTGCTATTTTGGGTGACTGCAGATCGTGAGAAATAGAAGTGTGGCTGAAAGTCACTTCAACTGGTCCCTAGTGTTCACTGCCATTTACACAGCTTTTCGGATATCATTCCATGCTGCCTCGGGGTGGGCACCACTTACATGTCTGCCTAACTGTTTTTCTAGTTGTTACTGAAATATATTCTTAGCTTGGCTATCATTAAGTAGAACCCTAAGAGGTTTACTTGCAGCGTCTTTCCTACGTCCAGTAAGACGCGGACAAATACGCTCTCGCACTATAGCATGATCTGAATCTAAACATGTGCTCAAGAACGAGCGACAGTCTTCCAGCGAGCCCCTACGTCGGTGGCTGATGG